AAAGAAATGTTTAATATGTGTGTATTATATATATATATATATATATATATATATATATATATATTTGCCACGAGATCAACATCATCCAAACCAAAGAAAAAATCCATTATGATCAACAAAGGCTATAAGAAAATCTTCAATGAACACATCAAATATTACTTACAATCAGATAAAGCAAACCAAATATAATTGATTACAAATGAGAAATAAGATGAAAAACCCAAAAATAGAGCTATTATAGTGAGACACTTTTCTCTCACTCTAGACCATGTTTTCACGATCCAACTATTGAAAATGAAGCACCATGTCCTAAGCACCTGCTATCCAAAAACTAGCTTGATCCAACGGTAAAAGAATCTTCATCTACAAATTGAAAACTATTGCATCATGGATATGTTAACTCAACAACAAAACTTTCTCTCTTCTTTTCTCTATATATTTTGTTATTGTTCTTTCTCAAAATGAGTCACTCTCTTCATCCTAAATTGATCTTCTAACATATCTATCTTGATTTTATCATTTTCTTTCTTTAAGACTTTGCATTTTTCTTTAATTCTTTTGTAGTCAAGAGAGATCATGTGAAAGTTAGCTAAACAAGTTTCATAAGACATCTCTTCCTCATCAGAATTTCCAGAAGAGCAAGAGAGAAAGAGTTATAGGTTACCCCCAATTCTGTATCATCTCCGTCTGCCATAAGACAAATATTGACTTTTTTTCATTTGAACTACTGTTGTTATTGTCTAAATCTTCCCAAGTGACCATCAAGCTTTTCTTGGCCTTCTTTATGTTGTTCCATTGTTTCTAGAGTGCAAAACATTTAGCTTTCATATGTCCAAGGTTCTTGCACTCATAGTAGATGACCTCCTTATTCTTTTTTATGTGACATTAACTATGGTAGCCAATAGGTGGGGAATTGGTAGGGTTTGAAAGTGGCCTTTTAATTATATTGTGATTCGTGGAGTTAGTGGGGAAAATTAAGTGTTTCCAACAAAGAGTTTGGTTAATCATTAAAGGGTTTTCTATTTTGTTAGAGAGAGCAAAGTCGAGGAAGGTTGTAACTGAAAGAAGGTCGAAAAAGTGGGCAAGGTGATCGTCATCGTGAAATTTTTGCAAAAGCAACACATGAAACACATAATGGATCCTTGTTGTTGGCAAGAAAGCAAGCTCATACACTACTATACCAATTTGGTATTGAATGTGGAAAGGGTTGTAGTACTTGGGTGCAAG